TGCTGATGATTTGCGCTTTTATTCCCCCCCCCCTTTCCTGCTGCATCTTTTGCTTCTTTCGTGTAGAAATTTTTTTGAAGCTTTTGCCCTGATGTGAAGAGTTAACGCTCCTTTTTACACATTAGTAAAGGGGAATGTCGACCATGTAGAAAGCGTTCAAAATTAATCTAGCAAATTTCAGCTTATCCAGATGTCATTTCCGAGAACATCACTGATGATCATGAGTTCATAGTGCTAGCATGTGATGGCATTTGGGATGTATTAAGTAATCAAGAAGTTGTCGATTTTGTACGAGAAAGATTAGCAGAACATAGAGACCCACAAACGGTGAGTGTTACCTACATTTCTTGAAATTTTCTGAAGTCATCGATTGGTGAGGTAAGTAGACTCGCGTACGTCATGTAGACGAGTGAAAGGGTTAAGGAAGTTTTCTGGAGTTGATTAAACGGCAGTCTAAATCAGTTATGAAGAATTTGATTGGCATTGTTGTAGAAACAAGTGTTTGCTATCGCGCTCATATCTCTATAAATGTATCTATTCGTTTCTAGGGAGATTAGTTCATGAATTTGCTCTCGAATTCTTGGCGTCATTATATTCTCGTTGATAAGTTAGGGTAAATCTTTTTCCTCATTGAAGAAGCCGTATTTCCTTTTGCATGTGCGATGTCAACTCATCAGGGGTACAATAACTCCTCTAATGTTGCGTATTTAATGATGCGTTATATAAATCAGAGCTATTTTGCTTTCGATTGATGTAAATCTAGTATAATTGTATCTACAGATCTGTGAAGAGCTACTTACACGATGCTTAGCACCTGATGCTCAAATGGGCGGCGTAGGATGTGATAATATGACTGTAAGTTTTTTCCGCTAGTTAATATGCATAATGGTGATGCCTTTCTTTCAGGTAGTTATTGTTGGTTTACTGCAGAAGCAAAGTTTCGAGCATTTAGTTACCAAGTGTGCACGAACTTCACGGGCTGATCAGAAGAAAGTAAGCGATGTTTGTTACAGTCATAGTGAAGAATGTATGTTTGATTTCTTTTTTCTCTGTTTGTATGTGTTTATCAGTGGCCCTTTTTTATATTCGGAGGATGTTTGATCCTATGATAGTTAAGGAGGTTTATTTTCTTAAGTGTGATGAATGAATGATCAGATGATGTACAATATCCTAATTGTTATGGAATTTAAAGGAGCGTCCAGGCAAATCTAGATGTATGAGGACCTTTGGAAAGTAATCTTAGGACCCTAACTAAGACTGCCCAAGCGGCA